GGCCAGCTTACTGTACCCTTGGAGGACAAATTAAAAAAAAAAAAAACAAACCAACTCTCTTGAAGGGTATTGAGGCTCGATCAGTTACAAAACAGGAAACTGTGAGCTGTTAAGGGAGTAACTGAATACGGCCGAATGTTATAATAGGCCAAGAATACTGTTGTCAAGGTTTGCCCTGCTTAAGTGAAACAGTGTGTACAAGAAACCCTAGGTAGTCACCTGTGTCACTTTGTTTCTTTGACACAGGATTATCCTATCTCTGACGTTCATCTGATTTTGAAGAAGGCAAAGGAACTTCAAGATTCCAAATAGTCCACGAGCCTAACAAAAGATGTCAGAGAAACTGTATGGCAGTGGATCCCAGGAGATGCCCCCATGCAGTGTGGTGCGTTAAAGCTCCTAGCGGTCTCTGCAGGACTTCAGGTTTCGTGTTTGGGCTACTGGCCACCTTGAAGACTTCCTTCTACTCTATTTATTAGGTCAAGGACTGATTACTTCCCCATCTACTTGGGTCCTGCACTCCAGATTCTTTCAAGTCTCAAATGCCTCTGTGCTGCCAAAAGCAGTTCTTTGTATCTTTTTTTAATGACTTAAGTTTGGGGAGAAAGAAACAATCTGTCTGCATATCCCTGAAGGAATGGAGTCCTGTATGATGGAAGTAACACTTGGAGTAACTTCTAATGGGCAAGGGACAAGCTGCAGTCCAGTGGATTTTGGTGGGTGAGTATAGAAGGATCTTCCTCCTGTGAATAGAATGTATTGTGATGAAGTCACGCATCCTGCCATTCAAGTAGCTTCTGGATTCTCCTCCCCTGTGTCTGCACTTGGCCATCCCTGGGGTGTGCAAAGAAGACTGCATCAGTTTCTGGGGATTGTCATCTGACATCTGGCAGTTTGGACCCCTTTGCCTGGGAAAGAGACCTTGAGAAGCTGAGATGGGAGGAGACGATTACAGCTGGTGGCTTTGTGCACTGCAACTGCCTGAATCCAGAATCGCCTTATCAACAAGGTGTCCTTGAAAGCAAGACTGTGGTGGTTTTAATCAATGAGTGAAGTGCAGTTTGAAGTCAAGCCTTATTATGCACAGCCTTAGAGCAGGAGCTTGTTGCTGCAGGGAGGCCTCACGCTGCTTTCCTTGCTCTGAACTGGAGCATATCCAGCTACAGTCAGGATTCTGAAATACAAGAAATGGGCATCTAGTCACCTGCAATGAAGACAGCCGTATTTAGGGGCTTATACAGGCATGGCACTGGGGTTTTCTGCCTCAGTGGCCTGCATAATATTACCCTGCAGAAGCTCTGGTCATAGTAACCTTGATATTGTCTCATCGTACTTCTTGCCAGGAAGAGACATGGTACAGGTCTGACCTCCAAGTAAGAGTCCTTTTCTGGTGTCATCCAGTGGGCATACAAGCATTTGTCATTAGCTGACTGCTGGGGCTGATCCACTTTTCTGTGTACCAGTCTTGTTGGAGTCACATTTCTGAGTTAGACACTTGTCCCTCCTGAGAGGGAAACTGCTGCACTTCAAATACAGTGGAGCAGGCTCAGGTTGAACATCAGCTAAGACAAACTACGGAGAGAACTGCTAACGTGCTGGCAGCGTCAAGCTGATCAGAAACCTTAATCCTCAGAGGGAGAAACTGCCAGCAGCCAGGTGCTTGGGTGGTGCAGAAGCTCTTGAGTGAACACTAATCCAGCATGCTTTTCCCTTTCTTTCTGTGCTGTGCTGGCTCACCTCTGCATAGCTCTTTGACACTGCAGTTTTCGGTATTTATGGGTATCGATTTGTTAAAGGTCAGTCGTCTTTGTAAGATCTGCTTAAGCTGCTGATGGCCTAGAATCGCCCTAGCAGGAGGGATGTGGTCAGCCTTCAGCTTATTTCCTTCACTAAAGGCTGGTTCTTTACACGCTACTGTAATTCTCACAAAGGTGTGTGGGGAGACTGGAGGACAGGTTGATGCATGTACCTATGTTCTTATTGGCAATCCCAAGCAATCTCTGCCTCTTCAGAAGATGCTTGAGTAACACTGGTGCAGCCAGGTGTTGCTGCTGTGGTGGAGCAAGAGCAACTGAAGACTTAAAACAATCTGTAATTAATACCTGTGGCTAATGGTATCCCTCTCTGCTGCAATCCTTTCTAGAGGGTAGAGTTTTCCTCAAAGAAATATGGAACTGATAGACCAGGACAGCTGTGTGATGAAGCATCCTGTCTGCTCTAACTACTGGATGGATGTTCTTCCTGCCTTGTATCACTGAGCTATTCCAGGTAGTGTCATGGCCTGAGCTCTTGGGCACCCTGCACTAGAGAGGCCAGTAGTCAGACCTCGTGTGGCCAAATGGCTAGCTGGTAGGCACAAATGTAGAACCGGAGGGTCAAACACTTAGGCAGAATTGGACCTCCTCCAAACACTTCTGCCTCAGAACTGCTCTAAATACTGTTGTAGCTCTCTCACATTCCATGTACAACCTCCCTGAATACCTGGGCTGTTCATTTTGGGTCCCCCTGGCAAATGCAGGGTTCCCTTATGCTGTATTTTCTCACTGCTTAACAGGAGCATCCATGAGGGTTCCTGCTCTGAATAGCTAGAAGCCTCCTTAAAATAGCCTGAGGAGGCAGCAGGCAAATTGGGATTTAAGCATTACTTGTAGATGAACTTCTGCTTGTTTTCAGAGTAGTGTTTGGGTAGTGAGGTTGACCTGCAGTGGAGTTGCCCAGCTCTGAGTGAGGTGCTGGTCTGTAGTGTTACAAATGCTCGAGGAAGACAGCGGGGAGGTGGCTAATCGAGTAGCAGTGCAGGTGGCTGTCTGCGTATGGGTGTCGTGCTGCCTTTTCCCTTCCGAAGTGCTGAAGGGTTTACATTATGCCATCTTGCTTCTCTTTAGGGTGTGACAGGAAATGCTTTTAAAAGGAGTCTGCAGTGGTTTAATGGGATGCAATGAGAGCTTTGCTGCTGGGAAGGTTCTCTGGGATAAATTCTCTAGCTTATCCAGACTATGGCTGCTAAACTGATTGAGTCCTTCTTTGGGGAGAACTTGTAACAACTTCGATACACCTAGGCAAGCTGCTTCCTACATGAAAAGCTGTTTTATATTCCTCCTTAGCACCTCCTGTGTGGTAGGACTTATGCTGTTGAAAAGGGCTGTGGAAAGGAGTTGTTGCACTTTTCAATGACTTGGGACATCCATTTCTTTATTCTAAGATTTTTCTTCTTTCTTTAAGAGCAAACCAGATTTTCTGAGGGGAGAAAAAGTCTTGTTGCCAACTTTTGAATCTCCTCATGAGTTTCCTTGGCTTCATTCTTCAAAGGCTTTTGGTGATTATTTTTGTTGTTGTTGAGGTCAGATGTTATTTAACTAGTGGTTCCTTGCTTGTGTGGCCAAGTAACAACTGCTCCACCCTTGAAACCTTTCCACCTCTGATTTCTTTCAATCCTAATCTGCTGCAGGACCAGTGAGGTTGGCTGAAGTGGCAGGTCTTTGAGTTGGGAGGTGTTAGTCTGGGGTGCCTTGGGCACCCCTTGTTTCATAGGGGCCTAAACAGAGGATGTTTAAATAGCTCTTCCAACACATTCCTCACAGGCAGGACTACTGCCAGGCAGGGGAAGGGGGACCTATCTTCAACTGGGAGGGAAAAATGGGACACTGTGCTGGATGTGGGGAGAGATGAGCCTTCCCTGGGAGGAAGAGGTCTGTTCTACCTGCACCTTGCTGTAACTCAGGATTGAGGAAACCTTGTGGCTTTTCCAGTGAGGTAGAGGTAGAAGCAACAGGATACTAGAGATCAAGTCGATGGTGGCCACTCAGAACACTGATTTGGAGTTTGAATTCTGTGACCTACATTTCTTCATGCTTTGGCAGTGAGCAGAATGAAGGCCAGAAGTTGCTTTGGGGAAGTGTGGGAAAGCAGAGGCTGTTTTCCCTTAATGAGTGTCAGTGACTTTGTTTTAGCTGTTTGGAGCACTCTTCTAAAATGCCCTTTCACCAAAAGAGAGGAACAAGTAACACTTTTTTTTTTCCTTACCTTGTTTGGAAGGAATTGCCAGAACAGGGTATAGAGAACACTTTATCACTCTAACACTCTTTGTTTTATGCTTCTTTTTAAACACTATTTTTATAATGCTTCCTTTAACTAAAGGGGTGGCTTTGCGCAAACATCTCTCGGTGATGTGACCGGCCGTGTTGAGCTTGGAGGTAATGCTGCTACAGGTGATGACTACACTATTTCTAAACGCTCTCTGCGATGGTGGCTGGGGGGGAACCAAGCGACCGAGGAGCAGCAGTGAGCTGTGGCTCTGTGCTATCAGCTACCCCCTCTCCCTCCCCACCTCCCCTTCGGCACCACGGTTTGGCTTTGCCTTCGCCCACCCCGCCGCTGCCTCGCTCCGCGGGGCCGGCCGGGGGAGGGGGGAGCGGTGGCTTTTCTCGAAGACATTAAAAAAAACCTGCAAAGGTAACGCTGCGACTGCGGATGCTGCGGGGCTGGGAGAGCGGTACCCGCGGGTGGGCGGCCGGGGCGGGCCGTCCCCGGGAGGTCGCCGTCGTGTCCCATCCCCGAAAGTATTTTTGTACTTTCTCCTTCGAGCCCCTCTGTCGGGGCCCCTCGTTTAATGCTGTTCTCTCCTTTGTCCTAATAAAATGGTTTCTTTGCACACCGGTGTCGCAGACGCTTCTGTCGCCGCCGCCGCCGGGTCCCGGGGGGGTGGCGGCGGCCCCGCGGCGCCCTCTCGCCCTTAAAGCGGCGATGCTCCCGCTCCTGCGGGCCCTGTCTTCCTGCCAAGCCACGGCCCGTTTAAGCGTCGGCCGCTCCTGCGGCCCAAGCGCACGGACCATGCTGCGGGGCCGGTGGCTGCTGCCCGGCGCTTCCCTGGCCCTGGGCGCGGGGCTGGGGGCGGCCCT